TTGATCCCCACTCAATCAGACAAGGACAAAAGTGATAATGATGCTGAATCAACGGATGACTGCCTGAATTTGTTTAATTTTGAATCATGGAGAAGTGATTTTGAAAGTTGTCTTCCTTGTAGTGAATCCATTGAGGATCAATCATTGTCTTCCTCACATCCTGATACTGTAGATAAGTTTCTCAGTGACAGCGTTGTTAGAGGGCCGGACTTTAAGGAGCATTCACAAATTCGTGCAGAATCAAAGGTACTGAGTAACATTGCTAAAATTTTGATGAATCTAATTGCACCATATATTGAGCATTTTGCTTCCAGTTTAGAATTTAGTTGTATGTTGCTGTTTTGTTAATTTTAATCTCACTTTTTGCCCAAAATGAAAAAAAAAAAGAAAAAAAAAAAGACATTGCACATCTTTTCTTTTTAAAGAAAAAAATTATTTACAATGTTTTTTATAATGAATATTTATAACAATAAATTTTTATTAGTTTTTTTAATTTAGATAGGGTAATAATATGTACAATATTTTCATATAAATTTTATTTATAACATATAGATTTTGGATATGTTTCTGGATAATGAACTGGATGTTGGCATGGTAAAATTGGATCATATAGATTTTGTAATTGTCTGACCGAAAAAAAAAAAAAAGAAACATTTTGTAATCTATACTCTTGTTAATAAGGCACCTGAACAGTTTCATTATAGACCCTTATTTAATATTCTTTTTCTGAATTTATATTAGGGAAGAATGGAAAATTTTAGTTGTGTTAAGAAGACTGAAGGAGAAATTCCTCATTCCCAGGTAACTGAAAAGATTATGCCCAATTCTGAGATTGACGGTTCTCTGTCTTCGGGTTCTTGTCCAAATAATTGCCTAGAAGATACATGTCTGAATAGTGCACAGCCATTGGAACGTGAAAATGCTCTATCAGGTGAACCTTTTTTTGGCTTCAATATATCTAAGTTCGCAGTACATCATAAATTGCTAATCTATTCAATAGAGAAAAAGTTAGATAGTTTCTGGATGATAAATGCATTAATGTCTTTAATATTCTACTGAACAGATAGTTTTCATGAAAAATTTTCAGCCATTCCTGGAATAGATTTGGCCCCCACTCAATCAGACAAGGGCAAAAGTGATAATGATGCTGAAGCAACAGATTACTGGTTGGAATCCATTATATTTGAATTATTGAAAGATGATTCTGAAAGTTGTCCTTGTAGTGAATCCATGGAGGATCAATCATTGTCTTCCTCCTCACATCTTAACAATGCCAGCTTTGATAGAGGGCTGGACTTTAAGGAGCATTCACAGATTTGTGCAGAATGAAAGGTACTGACAGGGTAACGTTGCTAAAATTTTGATGAATCAAATTGCACTATATATTTAGCATTTTGCTTCCAGTTTAGAATTTAGTTGTATGTTGCTGTTTTGTTAATTTTAATCCCACTT